CGATGAGTACAGTTAGCAATTATGCTTGTTTACTCGCGCGATATTATCATTGTATCCCCCGCGAACGAAGTCGCGGGGATACTATGGGTTCCAATGTCTGTACAGACCGCCGCCGCCCGGTACTGGCCGCACCGAGATTTTCCCCTTCCGCTCTACTAACTCCGACCCCTAATTGACCTAGCGGTGACAACTTATCGTCTACATTACAACATCTTGGGGAGAAGGTGGGCAGTCGTACCAAAACACACAGGTCAACATACAAAACAACTCAAGCGACCTTTATTTGACCTTTACGCTTGAACCTTCGATCATATTTCCCTTTCCGCTCTGATAACTCGCGGGCCCCTAATTGACGTCTAAGCTGACCAAACTTGGTCCCACAAACTATACAAAGACCCATTCATCCTTAGGGAGAGAAGAAGTGGGCAGACGTCCCCAAAACCGCCAAGGGTCACTAGCGTGAACCTTTATATACACTTTCACACCCGGACAAAATTAGAACGCCTAGATCATATATTTCCTTTCTCCAGACTTGTAAATATTCTATCAATATGTGAATAACAACAATATATTACCAATAATATTACCATTTGCTTTTCGAGAATCCTACACCTGATTCCCTTTACCTACCCTAATAAAATAAACATGATCACGCCTCACCGAATTACTGAAAATCGTATGTGTTCTTCAAAAAAATGTTCCTTTGAATACCAACACGCGTTATACACAGTAAACAATTTTTCCCAAAACTTTTGCAATCTCCAGACGGCACAAACTGTGATCTCATCACAGCACGGAAACACCGCAGCAATCCAAAAGAGCACTAAATGTCAATACCTAACGCGAAACGAAAGACCTGCTGGCGGCTGTTGGGATATTAGGTTAAGCACAGTAACAGCACTTGTTTGCGAATTCCTTATCCATCACAGAAGAAACAACGTATGTCACTAAAACAGCTCAAACTCAGCTGCTACATACAGACGCAACGTGAGACACCAACGTATTTATTATTTATTACAGCGCTGGAAACGCAAATATACACACTGAATACAATTACGATAGAGCCTAATATCCCCCAACTAGCCAGCGTCCAGTCAGAGGACACAATAGAAACAACATAATCTCCGATAAAAAAGTTTGGTAGCAACGCGCACAAGATGCAAAAAAGTTTTGGGAAAACTGTTGTGAAATCGCTGTCTTTTTTGGAAGAACCATAGCAATATTTCAGGTAAATTGGTGGTGTCATATGAATTAACGGAGAATCACATAGCGAAAACAATGTAAAGTTTGAATATATTTAATTACATATTAACATAGAACATATTTTACAAGAGTTGTCAAAGTGACAAACTAATCGACAAAATACGCTGCTTAAACAACACAACACCAACACCCACACAATCCACGCCATGTCTACTCACACTTCTCCTACTTAATACATACACTTACATTATTGACTCACTATCATATAATACCTATATCAAATACATACCATATTCTATCAACCGTTATCAGTGTGCACTCTGTCGTACACACACTCCAAACTTATCGATTAGTAATTAATCAATCTAATATAACAATACCAGGATTACATGGCGACATTGTACTCCTCACATGTACAAGTAATCCTTCGGTCACCGTTTCGTCCAATCTGATTTTGTTATTGCATCGTCGTATCACATCTCCATAGATAGAAAATACAACCAAGTCCTATCCTAATCACCCTAGACGCTTACCCACAGTGCGTACCGGGATAACTCTTCACTCCAGCTACAGCGTTGTTTCCTTCCTGTAGCGGAAGCGAGGGGTTACACGGGTAGAGCTGCGTCTGTCTACTCGAGGAAAAAATCGCCTGTCCCGGTTGCGCGTCTAACGGTTGCTGAAAAAACATGTTAAAAATAATAAAGTGCTTGAAAGGCCAGGGTTAAATTTAAGGCCAGCACTTCGCATCGTGGTAGGTTCTAGACTATGAACAACTTCAGCTTTCTTTCTGCCCGTCATGGACGAAGACGTAATTGAATAACCCAGGCTTTTTAGAATTGTTACACTCGTATGTGGTACCTCCGTATTGACATCATGGTTCGTAATTTCGTATGCAATATTTAATTATACAAGACGCACGTGACCTCTGCAAACTAGAGAGAAGTTCATTTCTGTTGACTTCAGTCTGCATTACACCATTTGTTAAACATTAAAATAAATCGAAAATCCAGTAATTATGGAAGCGAGTAGCCGTGGGAAAAATATAATAGCAAATAAAGGAAACTATAATATGATGTTATTCGAGTTAAATCTAAAACAAACCGAATAACACATCCTTCTGACTAGAATTGACTGCGTTGCCTCAAGCTGAATATGTGCATGTGCTAGTTTAAATGTAAGAATACCAGGTGTGCAAGTGGTCACGTATGTTGTACCTGTGTTCAGCGTGAGACAACTAGCGGTCGCCCAAGATCGCCAGCTGGCGATTAGAAAATGCTACCGGGCGACTGCTTGCTTGTGTCAACTGGTCCGGCGGGGCGACCTAGAATAATCTGCCGCAGCAGCAGCGAAAAAAAATACAGACTTGTAAACGGGAGCACAGTAACACGACCCCGTTTTCGCTCCAACGTAACGACGGGAGGTATGCCAAACCTTCTAGACGAGCAGGCATGAATCCCTCACGCCATGAATTACGCGCACACGAAACAAAACTCGCCGACGGTCAAAAAGAATCGAATTGCGGCAGGCAGGTAGTCGCAGGCCGAGTGTTTTTAAATGACCGCATATTACCCATAACATAAGTTTTTATATCAGCAGGTGTTATCGTGGGGGGTGAGGGCACGACCGTGACCACCTGACACGCACGTATCAAAAAGCGCCCTGTAAGCTGAAGTTCGTCCACTTTTCATGTGGACTATTCCAAGTATTGGAAGTGGAATGGCGGAAAGTTGGACTATTATTTATTCAGTTAGATATCTAAAGAAGCATTGTAAACCTGTATATACTTAAAGATTCTAGACACTTGTAACTTTTTGGGACGTGCGGGCGCATTGATCTATGCATGGGGTACCGTGCTGGGGAGGAGAAGGAAACGAAAGTAAAAACCTTGCGCAAAAGCTCCCGGCATTCCTAGAGATTCCAAGTAACAAGTTTTTTTAATACAGTACTCAAAGTAACTAAAAAACTATGTTGTACATGTGTATGACACCGTGTATATAGTGCATAGTCTGCCTGTGTGAATTTAAATTGAATAAGAATGTGAAATTGATTTCTTAGTCGAGTGAAATGAGATTTAAAAAATAAGTGATCGAATGCCAATTTGTTGACGGATTTCTTAACACTGATAGTCTGATAACTGGTGCTGAAAGTGTTGAATGGCTGAAGTAGCTCTGGCCAAGCTAAAATAGCTCTCCGTAAACAAAATTAACGAGAGCTCTTTTTTGCCATACAGACTAAATCAAAAAAAATGATTTAGATAATACCGGACATCCCCGACACACAGGCAATCGCGTAATAAAATATGATAATTTATAAGGAATAATGGGTGGTCTCAGAGACGCGGCTGATCTTTGAAATCGACTTGCGGACTTGTTTCGATTTACTAACCTCAGTGTTACAAAAACGACTAAAAAAATAATAATTGTTTAAGAATAACATTAAGAATGCACATCATCAAATTGCACCATCCCCCATATATAAAAACGTCCCCACATCCGAGTCATCACTTTGCTACGAACAGAAATTTCCTGGACCAGTGGCCTACTGAACGGCAGGACCAGTGCTTCCTCAGAGGCACGTGGTCCTGCTGGACAGTACCTCCAATATCAGTTTTTCAACCCTGGTGTGTTAGGAGTAATTTTTAACCGTTGTCACATGTGTCAAAATATACAGCACTGTAGTCCAAGATTTGTATGTGTGAGGTGTTGTGTAGTAACATGTTTATTATGGACTCTGTTTATTAATAACTTTATGACTCTGTGTACCCATGCGAAATTGGAATCTTTCAATCGTTGATACTGTATGGACTCGTATTAGCGAAAGTGCTAATGTAATAATTGTAATTCGCACTTATGTGTTATCTATGCTGTATCTATATTAAATAGCGGTCACATAGTCAGCCCATTGTACCCCATGTTTTTCACTATTTAATAAATCAGTGTTATGAATATTATGTACCTTTTACTTATGTATGATTATGTATTCTATTGTACTTATTGTATCAATTATCTATATTTAAGTAGTAGCTTGTTACCCGAGAAAGCTTTGTGTTGATCACATGATATATACCCTTATTCTATACAAGTGTTTGTTTTGAGTAGATAGACGTAAAAGTTATACAGAGGGCCAACAGATCGAAGAACCCAGTACCACATACAAGTAGGTGAACAACACTGACTGTATGGAGGTTTAGTTAGACAGTGCTTTTAAAAAAACACATTTTGTTACGAGTAGTGTGGTAAGAGTAGTATGAAGGGCAATCTTATATGTGAAATACTAGTAATAAACACTATAAGTCTACGACAGCCGAAGTTATGACAAATGTAATTAGAGAAATACGCTAACATGACCTTGAATATTGTAATAGTAACAAATGTACCAATAGTTTTGGTGCGTCTGTTGTCCGCTGATATCCCAGAAGTATTGAAAAGGCGCTACTTGAAACAAGTTTTGTGTTTCCTGTGAGTGTTCTCTAAGGTATTTATCTGTGTAGGGAAGAGTTAAAAAGCCAAGGCAGTGAAGGGTCAATCCGCCTTGTAGGATAGAAATGCAAGCACTAAACTCGGGTACATGTGCAAGTGAGCTGTTTAGCGTTGGTACAGCTAGGACGAGGAAGGCAAAAGCTAACTGAATTAATGCGTGGCGTGAATGATTAGAATTGTAAATGGGTACGACAAAGGCTAACTGCCTAGCTCAACCTGTGGTATATGAATGATTAGAATGTTAACTAAGATAGAAAGCCAAAGGCTCTACCTAGGTTTTATGTGATGTGTGTTTAGACTAGTTCCTAGTATAGAACCGATGATATAAGGAACCTGATAGCTTCTAAATGTTTCTGCCTGGCGTGTATGTTTATGTTATGTCCTAATGGTATTAGAATGGATTGGTATAGTTTTTGGGGGTAGCCCCAATCGAGGTAGCAGTACTGCCGAAACTCACTGCTTTGGCAGAATGAATTAGTATAAAGAGAAAAAATTAATTAGTTTGCTCAATGCAAAATAAATGATAGGAAAAATGCTTTACCTGCAATGGGGGGCTGCTGGGGGAATAAACTAATTACATAAGGAGCCACCATCCTTGTGCACTGCCGATTGACTAGTATTGTCAGCACAAGCGTTGACGGTGTTGCTGTCATTTCAGGCCACCTGGTCAGATTCTGGTGTGACGGAAGGGTTCAAGACGCCACAAGAGCTGTTCGACTTTCATAATAAGGTACGGTTGGTTATTTTTTGGGGTGGTGGGGGTCAGTGTGAGGTAAATGTATGTTGTTGCTAGCCGAAGGGCATTATTAGGAGGGCAGGGCATAATTTTTATGATTAGGCATTCAGAGAACTTGTGCACCAGCCCACGGGCACAAAAGGCATTTTGTTGATGAGGGCTTCCAACAAGGCAATCTAGCGGAGTACCACATGTGGGCCAGGTCTGCTCACACGCTTCCTTGCATTTACTTGGTAGAGATGCTAATCACATGACAATGTGTGTGGAAGATTTATTGCACTAATGCAGTCCTACCAACCACCTAAACATAGATGTAGTTGCACCACGTAAGAGTAGACCATGGGGCAGTTTTCCTCTACCTAGTGAATGCGCTCATTATAATATTGTTGTCCTAAAATATATGGTCAGATTAATTCACGTGACCGCACTTCGCGTTTTCCTAAACGTCAGTATTACGATGGAAATAAAATCGGCGTTATGTTTGAGTCATAAATCAGAGGTAAAGCTTTTTTAAAGTTACAATGTCATTTTTAATCATATTAACCGTGCCCTCACATCGATCAAAAAAGATAATGATAATTTCATCAATATTTCATGAATTAACATTAAGTCGAGCGATAACTTTGTAATACCGGCGGCATTCTGTTAACACACAGAGTTTAGAATGAGGTCATTAAAATTGCTGATTCTCTGTTCTGTGGTAGTACCGCTAATTACCATTACCCGATATGATCGACTGATTCGTTCTCAAGGTCGTGACGCATAGGCGATTGCTAACTGTCCACTACTTGCATTGTAGTTGCTAAAAGTTGTTCCCAGAGGACGCCGCGGCACCATAAGACAGGGAGCGAGCACATTCCCTATCTGCCAGGCTGAGCCCCGGTCTAAATGCGACGACGACTGTCGACAACGACTGACAACGAAGACGGCACGAGTGACGACGACATCGTATGTGAGCTGATTACGGGTGTTGCACGCCACAAACCGACAGAAAAGAGCAGGTGTGAACTTCGACTGCAGTCGGGTCGGCCTGCTGGCGGAAATCGTCGGTGGCAAGAAGTAGCGTGCGCCGGTGGGTTGAGATTGCGCGCTTTAGAGCACGTAATAGAATATTTTCTCGCGTTACAGCTACAGGCAGCTGGCAGAGTCAACAAAGAAGAGAGTGGCAGACGAGTAACTTGCGCAAAGATACACGGAGGAGTAATGTATTATTAGCTCTTGATATATATATATCTACCTATCTATCTGTCTGTCTATATATATATATTTATCTGATCTGAAAATAATTAAGCGTCGAGGCCGTGTTAGCGATTCAGTTAGATCAGCGGCAGATAGATTAAGTTATTAACCACATTACTTTGCTTTAGCATTGTACCTGCACAAATACAGTGACAGAGACTGCGCAGTTCAACCCTCAGCAATTTGAAATTCATGTTTCTCTTTTTAAGTACAAGTATTTTAGTCTTTGGTGTCCCCCAAAGATTAAAATACTCAACTCAAAAGTGATATTTTTGTGATGAAGAATGTTTAAAATAATGATGCCTCAGAGTGCAGGAAATTGCATCTAAGAGGTGTAATTTTCCAAAAAAATTCTGGCGGAGGGCCCCCTGGCGCCCACTTATCAGGATCCACTTCCTGAACCAACCCCCTCGCAGCTTTGCTGCTCGGTTGCAGCCTGCGGCAGCAGACAGCCGCTTACTTTCTTGGTTTACCCTGCTACATTATACCAGAAGCTAATAATGACAAATTTGTCATTATTAGCTCCTGATTATACCCCTGTCACACCTTCCCGCGATCACGCTCGCGCTCTCACTGCGACCTGAAAAGCATGAAAGCGCGAGGAAAAGCGCAGTCCACGGAAATCCATGGCGTGGTGTGACCATGGTATGACACCATGTAGCTTTTAACAGTAGCTTACAATACGCTCTTGACTCGCTTATTACGCTCTCACTGCCATCCTATGCTTTCGCAGTTTGATCTTCAGTGCGCTCTCAGTGCGCTCCCACTGCGCTCTGTGCGCTCTCAGTGCGCTCCCACTGCGTTCTGTGCGCTCTCAGTGGTGCGCTCCCACTGCGCTCAGTGCGCTCTCAATGCGCTCCCACTGCGCTCAGTGCGCTCCCACTGCGCTCAGTGCGCTCTCAGTGCGCTCCCACTGCGCTCTGTGCGCTCTCAGTGCGTCCAAGTAGCTCTTGCTGCGCTCTTACTATGCTCTCAATACGTTTGCAACTCGCTCACTGCGCGTGCGCAGTTTATTTTATTTTGCAGGTTTGGGGACGTTTGACTTTTATGTTTGGGGAATTGGGATTTTTTTGTTTAAGTTTAAGTTAATATAACTTTATTTAAGGACATTTAAGCAATTACATAAGCAAGGCATTATGCATAAAAGAAACATATTTACATTATTAAATTATTTATTTTTACATTACCATATTTATTTGAAACATACAATATTGTGTACTGTGTACTTGTAAACTTTTGAACTACTTGTCTTTTTTTGTAACTGACTTTTTATATCATGCTATGGCTTGCCAGGGCACAGAGCCTGCAGGTGAATTGAAGTACAGCTTGAGGTATTCTCGTTGTTTCTTGGCTGCAGTGGTGTCACGGTTGTTCCCTCTAATGTTGTTCAGCTCATGCATGTTTGCATCAGCCCTCCAAGCACCTGGGATCAGTTGGTGGTTGACATCCT